GGGGTCTTAAAAAGTATTAAAAGTTGATAAATCAATTTAGCGAAAATTAAGGCTATTAAAAAGTATTAAACATCATTTTCCAAGGTATTACATTTTGTAGCTTGTTTTCAATAAGTATATAAATTGTCCAAAGAGGTTGTATTCTACAGTCTGCCTGAATGTAATCGCACGCTCACTGCTTGATAGCGCGCGAAGGTCCGTTTACGCCGGTTGCTAAGCAACATCGTTATGGGGAAATGCAAGTTTGCGTCCAAATGGTTGGAAGATAAGGAGGAAGGACAATCAATACTGTATATAGTCAATGTGAGGTAAAGTGTGTCGCCAAGGTAACCGGATAGAACTCCACGTGGTGATGAGGTCTTAAAATGTATGGAAAGGGTCTTAAAAAAGGTCTTAAAAGGAATTACATCTGACTTCAGGATTCCTGCATATACCCTGTTCCTACATATGCAGATCAAGTTAAAGTGCAGGAATATATCGGTTTAGGTAAAAATAATAAATATGTTTGAATGTGTATAATAATATATATTGGAACGGCAACAGGCTGCATTGAGATACCTTCACTTTTAACAGGGGTTATGATGAGGACATCACAGAGGAACAGCATGTATTTTTTCATACCCCCCCCCCAAAAAAAAACTAACTGACCCCTCCCTCATAGAAGACGCTCAGTCCAACACTGTTGCTAGGCAGCATTCGTCAGTTGCTAGGAGATGCTGATGGCAGACAGAAAGGGACAGAGGAGTCCTGCAGGATTAACTGGAGAATTAAGTGTGAGATTTGAGCAAAAGACAGGAAGAGTTCATCATTTGAGAAGAATTTGGAAATGTATATTCTGTATAAAAAATAGTGCAGAGATGATGCTTTTTGCTAAAGAAATTAGCATCGCAAAGGGTTTCCATGACAGAAAGCCAATGGGCTTTCTACATGTGATTTTGGATTATGTTCTGCAATAATCTCTGTAGCAAACTAACATTTATGATACACAAGTCATGGCCTGTTGCTTCAGGATCATTCAGGATAATCTCCACACATTAACGCAACTTTCTTGAAGTAAAAAGCTAGATATGTGGACAAGTTGTTGTTGTTGTTGTTGTTGTTGTTACCTGAAAGAGAGGCTAGAGGATGGGTTATCAAATTCTCAAATTCAGAATAAACATGCGGATAAAGCTGAATTTTTTTACTGAGGTATGTTTATTTCTTTCTTTATTGAACAGCTGTCCCGAACATCATATTTGATATCAATCCACCTGGAGTCCTTGAAAGCTCTGTATTACATTCTGCAACTTAAACTGAATTAAAGGAAGTGTAATTGTGTGATTGAAGTCTAAAGAGAGAGAGAGAGAGTGAACACAGGGTTAGGCAGTGATTGAGATCCCTGCTGTTCCACTGGGAAACCCTCTGTAATTAAACTCAGAGTGACACAGACAGACAGACATTAACATCCGCACAGCGCCACCGCCACCTACTGGACGCTTGATGTAAGTGCAGACCCTCTAAATCTGCGTGGGTTCATTTATCTATTATTTTCGGCACTTATATTAAATAAAATACATAAAACCTTTAGACTATATATTTTAGGATTCAATAAACATACGTTTTTAACTGCAGCTCATGCACAATTATTATTATTTTCATTGAGCGTTTTGTGTAGTTCCACCATCCCGAGAAGAGAGATCCAGAGAATGAAAAATACAAATAGATAAAGAATAATAATGATAAATAATAATAAGAATTATACATAAGAATTACAATTACAACTTCTAATTACAAAAAATATTAATCATATTAATAGTGAATTACCCAAAAAATATGATTTTGATCAAATATATATATTTTTTAGACTCCGCACACTTTTTTTTACATCTAATAAAATCAAATTGATGTTGTGTTTCTACCTGTGTGTGTGTGTGTGTGTGTGTGTGTGTGTGTGTGTTTGTTTGTGTGTGTTGTTCAGCTCCAGCAGGCTCCAGTGAGAATGAGGAGCGTGTCTTCAGGCAGCGTCTCGGCCCCAGGAAGCGTCAGGGCGCCGTCAGGAGGAGAGTCCACCAGGTCAACGGACACAAGTTCATGGCAACGTTCCTCAGACAGCCCACCTACTGTTCTCACTGCAGGGACTTCATCTGGTAAACACACACACACACACACACACACACACACACACACACACACACACACACACACACACACACACACACACACACACACACACACACACACACACACACGGTATAATTACAATCCAAGGAAGCACAATTATGTTAATGATGTGTTAAAATGTATATTGTATGAAAGAGAGCGGAGCTGCCGAGATATACCGACCTACAAATATTATGCTGCAGACTGAATAAGCTTCTACTCATTTTTTCATTTCTTGTTTTTTTGCACCTTGTCTGTATTCTCATTGAATTGATTTAGTGGAATAAACCCCCACAAAACCTAAATTGTTTCATACAGATCCTCACTGCAAATCTGACCAAGTTACCAGAACTAAAAATAGAAAACCTCCTATTACTTTAGTTCATTCACTTAAAAGTACAATATTTTCTTAATATTATCTGTATTTGTGCTGCTTTCCTTTGAGCCGTTAACAATATGTTAGGTCTTGTTTTCTGTGATTCATGCTGAGTTTATTCTCTGTTTGACTTTTAGGGGCGTCTTAGGAAAACAGGGCTACCAGTGTCAAGGTAAGATGGAGTTTCTATATTCCATCATTTCGACTGAAGAAACTTAAAAGATACACACGTGCACTTAATCATGTGTTACTTAAATCCATGTGTGTTTCTCTTGCAGTTTGCACCTGTGTGGTCCATAAACGCTGCCATGAACTGATCATCACTAAGTGTGCAGGGATGAAGAAGCAGGAGGACACAGTGGAGGAGGTACTCTTTAAAGTAGAGACACTACATATACACCTGAACATGAGCAGGAGAGGACTCTTTAAAGTAGAGACACTACATACTGATATACACCTGAACATCAGCAGGAGAGGACTCTTTAAAGTAGAGACACTACATACTGATATACACCTGAACATCAGCAGGAGAGGACTCTTTAAAGTAGAGACACTACATACTGATATACACCTGAACATCAGCAGGAGAGGACTCTTTAAAGTAGAGACACTAAATACTGATATACACCTGAACATCAACAGGAGAGGACTCTTTAAAGTAGAGACACTACTGATATACACCTGAACTTCAGCAAGAGAGGACTCTTTAAAGTAGAGACACTACATACTGATATACACCTGAACATCAGCAGGAGAGGACTCTTTAAAGTAGAGACACTACATACTGATATACACCTGAACATCAGCAGGAGAGGACTCTTTAAAGTAGAGACACTACATACTGATATACACCTGAACATCAGCAGGAGAGGACTCTTTAAAGTAGAGACACTACATACTGATATACACCTGAACATCAGCATGTATGTGCAGGGCGTTTACTGTACTACTACATGTTGAACGTGCTCCAGGTAAAAGATAATTTGAATAAAACTATTTGAATAAGTGCCGCTATGTGCACTTATCATCATTACTCAGTGCTTCCCTGGAGTGTGTGTTGCAGCGATGAGCGGCTGGCAGGGCTGTGTGCAGTATTTATTTTATTATGAAACACCAAAAACTCTGGTTATTCCTAGCATAACGGCGGGATGTGTGTTCAGGCTCACTCAGCTGCTCGTGGTGCTGTATGTGCTGGGGTGAGTAACAGCGTTTGAAGAGTGCTAAATAAATTAAGTTGGATTTAATTATTAATTGATTACATTACATCGTAAGCATTCAATTTCATGTTTCTGATGCTTTTATGCACAGCAAAGTGCATAAACCGTAAAGATAGAAACATAAATAAAAATGCTAATATACTGGTTTTAAATAAGCAAAAACCCTAGTTCTAGTGTATTTAAATACATTACTTGAGTTAATGTACTTTTTAAGAAAAGCATCAAGACCCACCTGTTCCGCACCACATTTTACTGACTGTCCTTTATTTTAATTTTTTTATTCTAACCTTTTCACCTTTTTACATTACATGTCACTTGTTAGACACTTGTATCCAAAGCGACCTACATACTCAATACTGTGGACAATCCC